AGGCTGTGGAGTCTCCTTCTCTGGAGATATTCCAGACCCGCCTGGACGCGGTGCTGTGCAGCCTGCTCTGGGTGACCCTGCTTGGGCAGGGGGTTGGGTTGGGGATCCCCAGAGGCCCTGCCAACCCCCAACATTCTGTGCTTCTGTGAGCCCGGAGCAGGGAGTGGCTGGGGCACTGGCGACAGCACCAAATGTCACTAAGGTCACGCCAAGAAAATGGGGAAGAAACCACCACCCCAAAAGCAAACAGCTAAGGAGCACCAGGGAGATGGAGCCAACGGCCGGCGCTGCAGGAGAGCTACGCAGAGCCTTGTGCTGTGGCACAGCAGAGCCCTGCGAAACCTCCGCCCTGGCAGGCACCAGGAGCACCGGCGCCGTGCGCTCGTCCACGCAGACACAAAGGTCACGCCAAGAAAATGGGGAAGAAACCACCACCCCAAAAGCAAACAGCTAAGGAGCACCAGGGAGATGGAGCCAACGGCCGGCGCTGCAGGAGAGCTACGCAGAGCCTTGTGCTGTGGCACAGCAGAGCCCTGCGAAACCTCCGCCCTGGCAGGCACCAGGAGCACCGGCGCCGTGCGCTCGTCCACGCAGACACAGCCAGACCCGCGTGTCCGTCTGCCAGACGGGCGGATGACGCCCTTGGCTGACCCTGGCTCGGCTCCGCTCCCGTCCCCACGGGCACTCACCACGCCGTTCTCCACGCAGAAGCCCAGCTGGTACTTGGAGTCGGGGCGCCGGATGATGGCCGTGGTGACGGGGGGACAGTGCACGACGTTCAGCGTCACCTCTGTCTGGTGCTTCAGCTCCTGGAAGATGGGATGGGGCTCTGTCATTCTCTGGAGAGCTGTTTGACGTGGCTGAGAGGGGCGACGCAGCCATGTTGCTCACAGGAGGGCCGAGGATTAGCAACCTGTTTTCAGTGGGGAAACTGAGGCACGCACAGGGATACTGCCACGCTCAAATTCAGGGGGAAGAACTTAGAAATCCAGTCCAAGACATCCCCCTCTGCCCCTGAGGCCACTCCGTCCTTGCTTTCAGCTCCTTCCTGCCCAGGAGGCAGAAGCTGCAGCGGTTCCCCCCAGGACGCACGGCTGCCTCCTCACCCACCCTCCCCTCCGGGCCGGGCCCCGCCCCCACCCTGCCCCAGCA